ATAGAATGTGACACTAATTCAGATGTAAATAAGCTTTAAATATGGATATTTATTCATATAAACCTGTACCATTTATATTTTTAATGTGCATTGATTAATATTTTTAAGAGCCTTTAATGTAAAAATCAGAAGTAACATTAGCAGAGCTTATGTATTAAGCAATCAAATATAGTATGCCATTTTACACAACTGGTGAAAGTCTTATCATTTGGTATTCACATTATATCAAGGAAAAGTAACTGCTAACTGCCACCTTCCAAAAAAACAGGGGGCGAAGAATAGATTAGAACCTAAATTAATCCAAGGTAACTGGGATCATTATTACTTTTGGCTCATTTAGCAGAGACTAAACTACCTCAAAGCTACAAACTTTCTGTGCATGCATAGCATTTACGCATGCATGTTTAATGTATAACGGATGGTATAAGCTAGGCTAAAATTATCCATTTCAGTTAATGTTGCAGATTGCATTGTTCCTTAATCTTCTAATTGGATCCGGCTTATTATTTTTTGCAGAATGTTAGAGCAATTTTAAAAAAGTAAGCTTCAACTTTAGATTATGTCAAAAAGAGTTTCCGATTCTGGAGCTGCAAAAGCATCTACAAAGCGAAAGCATATTTTGATGCCCATCAAACAAAAAGTGGAATTACTGCAAAAAATGAATAAATGCATGAAGAAAGTGACAGAGAGGTTAGTGAAAATGAAAAAATTTCGATTGACAAGTTAGTCTGTATTCTCGTCACAGCAATTACATGACTTGAACACCGGAACTTTGTAACTGAACAAGAAATGATGTCTGTTTATAGAATTAAAGAGAAAGTATTAGCACATAAAATAATGCAACTTAAACAACTTACATTGAAAGGAATGTTTGATAAAGTAAACAAATAAATATTACTTTTTTTTTTTTTTTTTTTTTTGTAAATTTTGATACCCTTTAGATCATAATTGCTCTTTATTTCGTAAATTACGGTTTCATATTTTTAATTCTGTAATTTTTGCATGCCATTTTACCAGATTTAAATTGATGACCTATAATCCGAAAAAACCCCTAATCCGGTATTGCCGAAGTCCCGACGAGTCCGGATTAATGACTTTGTATTGTATCTTTATTACTAGGAAAAAATTATTTCTTCCGATTAACAAATATTCCATAAAAAATTTTATTTTGTGCCTAAATATGCATGAAAAACCTAGAAGAAACTTCATCAAAGCTTAAGCAAATTGTGAATTTTTTTTAGGGAAAAATATATTAACCTTTTTTTTATGATAGTCCCCAAACTCTATTAGCTACTGCATAGTTATGCCAGTTTTAGATCAATAAAAGATTCATAAGATAGCAACAAGATGTTGCAATACCTTTAGCGGCTGTACCAAAAACTACTGTAAACTAGTAATTCGATCCTGCCCAAAACCAGCTGGTGATCTTGTTTTCATATGTAACATACATAAAATCTCTCTTAAAAGTCTTTCATTAAAGCAGAGAGCACCTTGTATGTTTTGCCATAAAACAAAAATAGTTCCAAACCGAGACATTCAGCATGGCTAATTTTCGCATTTTATTTAATCCGCATTCAAAGCATCATTGTAATTTTTGTTTTCTGGATTAATGTCATGAATGATTTGTTTGCTGTTTTCTACATTTATGTACTCTAAAACATATTCCTTTTGTTTACTACATTTCTTATCAGTAATGACTCTTAGTTTCTTAGTCTTAGTTAGTCTGAGTTTCTTATCAGTAATATATTACTGTGCATTTTGCAATAATGCACAATACGAAGGTCATTAAATGATATATTATTGCTAAGAAATGCCAAAGGATCAATCCAGGATAAAATTCCCAAATATTATTGGTTTTTATTATACTCCTTCTAGTATTACAATACTTCCCTAATTACTTCTTTAAACTGATTACCAGCTTGGTTGACAGAGGTTTAATTAATGGAGGTTCAACTGTACTTTTTATTGGATGTTTTTATTATCTTATTTAATTCTTTATAGAGTCAAAAAAAATTGGAGTCTCGCATTTTTTATGATAAAAGTATTTTTTCGCATGCCGACTTAAAATAAAAAAAGGAAATTTTCTATTTCTCAGAGGAATTTGCTTGGCAGGATAAAGTTCACCAAAAGATTTGGGTAGGATTAAAATGCATAAAATTCAGCCTTTCCCGACTAGCTATAGCTTAAACCTAAATCATCTAAATGTTTAGTAGATATGAACATTTCTATGAAACTTATGACAATTATGATATTTAACCCAAAATATGTATAATCCTTAATATCTCTCAATTATCCCATAGTTCAATTTATCAATTAGAATTTTGCAAAGCTGAAAACTTAAAATTAAAATTAATTGCTCCAATTGCTCACTTAATGGCATGTTTTGTATCCAGAACTGCACATAGAAAAGCTACACAAAACTTAGCTAGCTTAACATAAATTTCAAATGTTGGAACATTTAGACAAAATCCTTACATCGCTTTCTGTCAAAGCAAGTTTAGCTGACCAGCAGTAAGATCAGCTTATATATATACATATGTGTGTATATAAAAACAAAGTCTGAAGTGAATGACCAGGAAGAATTTCGATGGTGTAGAAGTGTTGAAGCATAATGAATAGGAAACTGGAGGCGAAGGCAGATTAAATTGTTATTTTTATTTCAGCAAACATGTTACAGCCACAAACAAGTTGGCACATTAAATGTGCTAAAAAGCTTACATTTTTGATAGATTTGCAGTAAAAAAGAAGAAGCAGACAGACTGTAGTACAGCTAGGCCAAAGTGTAAAAAGCAAGTGCGTTATGTTCAAGATGAAATCTTTATTCAGACTGAGTTAGTTTCTGTTCTCAATGCATTTTGATTGGATAGTTAATATTTCTGTAAAATTATTATTGGATGCTTGACTAGAAAATTTCCATTTACATCATCAGAATTATGTAAGAGTCATATGACATGGATTAATGTAGAAATGACACAAAGCAGAGAGAGGTTACTATTTTTAGAATTGAGAAGGGAAATTTACGTTGGGAATTTAATCTTTTACATATTCTTTTTCTTACATATATATATAAATTAACAATATGCCAACTGTACACTCATATGAAAGCTCCAATAGGAAATGTGATGTCTTATGTATACTTTTGTATTTAAACCACTTAAATTTTAAATTTCTTTGAATTTCACATCAAAACAAAATTTCATCTTCAATATTTCATTTATTCCAATTCACAAGGCATCAGAGATAAATTTGTTAAACCTTTAGAGAAAATGGTGATGATAGAATGCAGTTACACTAATGCTCACATATATTTCATTTTTATTAGTAATACTTATACATTTAAACCTATTTTTAAACAATCTGTTAGCAGAAATATAGAACAACAGATCTTAGATATTGTGCAGGCTATTGTACCATACTGTTATACAAGCATTTTATTTTTTTGCACTGAATAAACATTTACTATTTCTATGAATAACAGGTAACACAAAAATTTTACATGGTTAATTTGCTATTTATTGATTTAGAATTAAATTAAAATATATATATATATATATATAGCAGCACTTCAACTGTCCCATTGTGTAGCAGCAATGGATTTCAAAGAATAAAATATATTTTAAGAATTTGCTTACTGTTTGAAAATTACTAGTGTGTTATGACTGCTAGGGAAAATGAATCTTATTTCTACCATCTTCAGAAAGAACATGTTAAGTTGTATACTAACAGAACTGCATTTCTTATTTGTGTTTCACAGATAAATATCATAATCCTATACTTCTGAGATATCAGAAAGTATATTTTAAAATAAATATATTTCACATTGATTTAAAAATACAGTATATAATGCATTTTGTGCAGAATATGTTATTATTCATTTGTTTAATGTTGGTGATGTCTTAACTGCATTATTTATCTGTTAGACTTAACCATAACAAAGTATCTTTTACATGAATAAATTGTTTTACATTTGCTACTATTCATGATAGTCTTGAATAGTGAATACAGGGGCACTACAGTATACAGAAGTAAATTTTCTTCTTCCTCCTCCCCCAAAATTTTAATCTTAGAAAGAATAATGGAAATTTTAAAACATTTTAATCTTAGAAACGAAATAGTACACAAGGCTAAATAAGTGAAAAAAGAAGATTAATTTAATATCCTTATAAGGTGATAAATTACATACAATATATAAAAATTTACATTTTATTTATTGTAGTATTGATTTTCTCTAAAGGAATGTTCACAAGATTTTCAGAGCACATATTACAGAAATTGAACATTTAAAGTATATTCATTAATTCAGTTCAAACATTATTATATCCGTACTTATAAAATTATGCTCACATCACTTTGAACAGGAAACTATTATTTGCACAACTAAAACCTGTTTAAAAACAGCTACAGATCCTTAAATGCATAGCAGCCACAAAGGTCATTTTTGAAGGCAGAATGCAGTAACAAGAAATTTAATACTTCATTAAGATTGAAATCACTTTCAGATTCTGAAAGTTAGTAATTTAAAAATTCATATACAATTATTCAATCACATAACAAAAATCACATAATAAAAAAAGTTATCTGAAAATTTGATGGCTTACCAATGTAGTTTATCACGGGGGGACCCAACAAATATAAACATTAGCTCAAAAACAAGTAACTTGTTGTACAGTTAGTTAAGCAACTTAAAAGCAACACTTATTAATCTTAAAACAGACATAAAAGATGCAAACAGCCACATATATCATTTTTGAAGACAGAATGCTGTAACAAGAAAGTTTTCAGATTCTGCAGGATAGTATTTAAAAAAATTCATACAAAATTATTCAATCAGATTAAAAAAAAGTGATCTGAAAATTTAATGGCTTAACAACGTAGTTTATCACAGGAAAGGAAGGGAACTCAACAAATATAAACATTAGATCAAAAACAAGTACCTTGTTATATAGTTAGTTAACAACACTTACTTTACTAATCATAAAACTGGCATAAAAGATACATACCTGGGTTAAGGCTGAACATTCAACATATTTGACAGCTTTCAATTCCTTTGCCAATTTTTCTCCCTGCTCATATGTTATAGGCTTCTGTTTATTTTTAGCTAATTTTTCTACTGTGACTACATCATCTCTTAAATCAATTTGAGTTCCAACTAACAGAAAAGGTGTTTTCTGGCAGTGATGAGTAATTTCTGGGACCCACTGAAATGTAAACCATTATTATTCACAGCAGTCGGAAATTGAAATTTTACAAGACTTTACAAACATGAAATTTAAATTTATTGTACTAATAGGCTAATAAGATGCATCATCCAATAAAATAATAAGTACTTATTAAAACGTGTTTTGAAAAATAATGGAATACACCACAAATTAAAAAGTAATCGCATTACTTTCCGATTTTGCTACTAAAGAATACATTTTTACTTCCTTGCACGAAGTAAAGGAAGTACTGCAATCACAAAAAATTCCGGGTATCATGTTTCAGCGAAAATATCTGTATTTTATTGAAATATTTTGACCGTTATCGAATGCAATTTAATGATGGTTTTTTTCAACATCTATATGCAAGGATAGAATAAAGTACTCTTTTTTTTCCAAACGAATTATAAAACTAAAATGGATTCAGAAGAGTGTTTTTTCCCTGAAGTCTTATTCTGCATTAATTTAAAAAATACTACTTTAACTGCATGTTGGTGGGCATAAAATTTCAATATCAACTGTTTGATTGATGGATGCAAAATTTTCGAGGGGAAAATAAAACGAAGATGTCATTTTCTGTGCTAACACTTTAATTTGGTAAACGTGATAATGGCATATTGAACAAAAGTGATAAATTGCATCAAATCAGAAAGGAACATAATTCGCAGTGGTGGCTGAACTTTAAGTTAATTCTAAGCCATTCCTCCTTTGTTCCTGCTATGCTAATAAAAGGAAGGCTGTAAATGCAAAATGCCACTCCAACTGAACACTGGTCTTTGGTGTTCATTTAATGTTTATGAGACTCGATAAGCACTACAAAATGCAACCCCCACGACAATTTAAGAGCCAAAAATTAAAATGTTATTCACTAGCTGCCGAGTATTAAAGCTGAAACCGTCTGATTCAATATTATTGTGGATAATTAAATTTTCCAGCTCCTCCCAAAAAAAGCTAATCAGAACATTTCAGTATACTTTCTTTTGTTTGAACATATTATCCATTCCTACACAGTGTAAACATTGGAAAACATTAAAAAAAATAAATAAATAAAAATAAAAATAAAAAATGGTGAGGGGGGTCCCAGATAGTAAACAATTCTGGTGTCTTTACACTATATTACCAAACTTAGACTTTGGATGCTGGAAAGTTAAACATTTTGAATATTTTAAGTTTGACTTACCAATATTTTACTTTAAAATAATTCTGCATTCAAAATTACTTTTACTTGAATTAGCTTACATCATAACTAGTTTTTAGAAGTTTATGACTCCAAAACACATTTTTTAACCACTTTTTATATAAATGCAAAAATTAATCTCATTTAGCGACTGCAACTTGGAATAAATCTTTGACTCAAAGTATACTCTTTTAACCCTTTGAAGGGCACCGGTATATAATATATACCGGTTATTTGTCAATTTTTTAACCTCAAGAAATGCTAATTTTTCTATACCAAAAGCTATAATCGTAAGTGTCTAGTATTTTCTTTCGATTCTAAATGGTAACATCACCTTATGAATGCTCAATATTTTACAGTTATGAAATTAATATACCTCGTTCCAGGGTATCATGTTGGAAGACTGATAAATTCTATTGGAGGGAAAGAAAAAATTCAAAGTCTTCAAATATATGACGTACACATGCTGAATCTTATATATTTTACTTCATTTCAGTCAGAAGTGCTAATTAACAGAAGATTATTTATACAATTTTAAAACCGGTATATAATATATACCGGCGCCCACATTGAGGGTACCACGCCAATAGATGGCAGCACCAGTCTTCTCCTTTTCTCTGTGACATGACAGAATTTCTTTATTATTATAACAGTTTATGATGTAATAATTTTTCATGATTAATTTATTAGTCGTTTAGGATTAAATATTATGTTCATGGAGGAATGGGGAGTTTACTGATCCTGCGCTAGGACTGAATACAAGTATATTAGTTTCATTTATTCTTTGTGTACTCAGCTCAAGTTTCATTCCTCTGTGTTTAGCTAAAATTTTTATTTCAGCACTTATCCCTTTCCCAAGAGAAAGACTCATCGATTTCAAAATTGCCGTCTGGGGTCAAAACTTTACACAATTGTGGGGGTTAAACGTGGCATGCTAGCCCCCAAAAGACACCTGTTGTTTCCTGTTTTCCAAAATCCTAGAATGCAAGCAAATAAAAGGAGGCGATTGACAACCAATTTGTCATTCGGGAGTCACACCTTCTTCCCTTTGTGAGGTGTGATACGATCACACAAAGGTAAAGCTCACTTAAAATGGAAATGTACTGAAGGTCCATCTCATAGTGTAATCACAAAACTGCTGGTTTGAAAGCATGCTTTTATTTTTTAGGGAAATTCTTTTTAATTCTTTGTTAATTTCAGATGAAAGACTAGAGAACACAAGAGAAATATGCGCTCTGGTTGATACAAATAGGTTGTTTCGGAAATAAATATTCACAGTTGGTGAAAGGAGGAAAAATATTTCTAAGGCCGGTTTTAGATGCAAACTAAAATTTATCCAAAAAAGGAGCCCCTATGAAGTCAAAGGGTTGAAAATCAGAATAAGAGCATTGAGGTGTATCAAATAATAAAATTGTTTAATGGCATCTCTTTCTGAACAAAAAGATATATTACAACCTATATTTACAAAAAATAAAAAAGTGACCCTTACTTCCTCGATGATCTAAAGTGTGTGTGCATGGAGGGGGGGGGCGATTCTGCATATCATAGTATGAAGCATGGTTTTTTTCACATATTATCTAAAGCATAAAATACAAGTTCAAAAATGCAACATACTTTCTCAGCTGAGTCAATCGCAGTGCTTTATTTTTCAATTTTTTTAATTTTCGGCTGAGTTACATCTGCTTGTAATATTATACTAGTTCAGTTACAGCATGATACGATTTACACATGCAGTATTATATTTGCTAAATTTTTTTATAAAATAATATTGAATTTAAATCAAGTTGAAAAGCTTTTTACTCATATTTTACATAAGTATGTTCAGCTGGGTTGCATCATCAAAGTGCATAAAAACATAAATTTTATTTTTAAAATTTTAAATTTCTGCTGAAATAAAAAAAAAAGTTTGTCTTTAGACTTACATAACTATATTCAAGCACTCATCACTACGCACATCAAAAGTACCCAAAATTAATTTTAAAAACAAAGATTAACAACTACCTGCAAAAAAAAAAAAGTCCTAGAGGGGTGCTGGTATAAAATATATACCGGCTCTCAAAATTCAGGATTTCGCTCCGGATTTTTTTTAAGTCTCAATTTTGTGTCCTTGGTCCATAAGTTATAGTTCATGCAAAATTTTACCACAGTTTAAATTATTTTATATACCGCCCCTCAAAGGGTTAAAGGGGGTCCTTGCTTGCAATTTAGCAGACCAAGATGTGATGATACTAATGTAATTTTGATGATGATTTAAGTAACACTAGTCTCCGTTCTTTTGAGGGCAACAATTTCTTAATAACTCATTCCTTCATTCTTATCTTTTGTTTACAGTTCCCAATATTGCACTGCCAAGAAAACTGTTATTCAATTCAGTGATTTTAGATAACAAACACTTTTTTTCTTTCATCCTTTCAATGTTACGAACTATGATGCTCTATTTTTTAAAATAAATCACAGAACAAATGTAAATGCCAAAAAGCATTTAAATCTTAAGACAAATTTATGTTGAAAGAGGAAATAGTTTTCAGATGATGAATACACATCTATATGATTGCAGGTATTCTGAGTGCGTATTTTTTAAATGCTAAATAACATTCTGAAATAAAAAAGTTAAAAAAAAAACTTATATTTAAGAGAAAGTTCAGATAAATAAAATTTTAGCAAGAAAAATTATACTGAAAATTACTACAAGTAGGAGAATGGAATCTGCTTAGGTTCCTTTAACTCAGTTCTTGTTAGGGAATACTTTTGTTATGGTTTTCTTTAGTAAAAGCTAAACATATGTTAGATTTAAATATATTTAAAAAAATATTACATTCTTTGGACAAATTCAGGAAAATCTGACATTAATCTGACATTCTTGAGGTCAGATCAATGAAATCAACTATTAAATTAAGGATAGAGACATTGGACATTAGTAAATTGAAGTTTGAACATTTTAGATGTTAGTATAATATTTCTACAAAATTACATTCCATTGCAATATTCTATACATACTTTCTCTTTAACATTCTCAAAAGAAGAAGGTGAAACAACAGAAAAACACACAAGGAAAACATCTGTTTGAGGATAGCTTAATGGTCGAAGACGATCGTAATCTTCTTGCCCAGCAGTGTCAAACAGGCCAAGAGTGTAGGGTTCTCCACCTATCATAACTGTAACTGCATAATTATCAAATACCTGGGTAAGAAAATATTAATTAAGATTTTACTTTTGAGATCATACTAAGTGGAGCATATACATTTTACAGATAATAAATATGAGAAAATAAACTGGAATAAGCCAATAATACAGAAAGCTAATAAACATAAATTTTATAGATATTAAATATAGGAAAACATATGAACTTAACCAGAATAATTTTAGGAAGAGCTACCATTTTTGAAAAGTTCTAACTGAAATCCAATACATTTTAAAGATGGTATTGATACGACAGGAAAAGAAAGACAGAGATCATTTCATTGATGAATATGAAAGTAAAAAAGACAACGCATTTTCTTACAAAGAAAAGAAAAAAAAACCACCAGACAAGAGCTTTTTAAGTCTGTTTGCCAGCAAATAATAACACAGACTTTTCATATTGATTAATACTTATAGAGAGCACATGGATAGATTTAACTTATATTTTGCAAGTCTAATAACCTATTACATTCTGTGTGATACATTACATAAACTTTTCAGTTATATAAGAGAAAAGTTAACTTTTGCAAGTGCCAATAGACTATTACATTCCGTGCATTAAATTCTGTAAATTTGTCAGTTAATCCATCTGACAGAAATCATATCTGGAGTATACAGTTACCGTATTTGACGGCATATAAGACGCACCCTTATTTAGAAGGCCACACACAAGGAAAAAAGTTTCAATAGTCCGTGCCACAATAACTTAAAATGTGGTTTTTCTTTTAGTTCTCACGTTTCGTAAAAGCCAAATAAACAATCATTGAATGCAATTACCAAACATATTTTTATTAAGGAAAATTAACAAATGGCAAGCTATTTTGAATATGATGTGTAAATTTCAATAATGAATAAATGAATGAACGGCAAGCAATCAAACATAATGCAAAATAAAGCAGAAACAACAAAAAATACAGATTCAAAGAAAACGTTGCCAATCATGAAATTAGATTTTAACCCCTTTCAAAACCATAAAAATCCTTTTCATTATCATCATCACTACTGTTTCCGTCATCGATAGTATCACCTTCTTCGAATAATGCGTTGTCTTCTGTTCCGTCAACAGCATTACTGATTCCGCACTTCTGAAAGGACTTAACAATTACTTCAACCTTTACTTCCTCCCAAAATCTTTTTACTCACTCGCAACACCTGTGAAATAGAGGGCCGCTTCATTCTACCTAAGGGTGTGAGGGCGTAATGTGGCACTCCTATCCACTTGTTCCATCGTTCTTGCACTTTTTCCTTAAATGGCTTATTCACCGATACATCTAAAGGCTGCAATTGGCTAGTCAGCCCACCAGGAATAACAGCTATCTGGGTTTTTAATTCTCTCGCTTTATTCCTTACGATTTCAGTTCTATGGGCTCTAAACTGATCCAAAACCAAAAGAGAGGGTTTTCTTAAAAGTCCATCAGGTCGCCTTGCCCATATGTTCTATAACCATAGTTTCATTCCAGCTTCGTCCATCCAACCTTTTGGATGAACATGAACAATTACACCCGTTGGAAGTTTTTCTTTCAGATAAGTTTTTCTTTTGAATATGAAAAACGGCGGTAGTTTCGTGCCATCAACACAACATGTTAGAACTACTGTATATCGGTTTTTTTTATGACCTGTGGTTTTTATGGTTATTGATTTAGACACTATAATACTCACAGTCTTGTTGGATGGTACATCAAATGTGAGTGGAATTTCATCCATATTTCCTATTTGACCGAGCTCAAAAGAAGTTTTCTTGTGTGCATTTTCTGTGCAATAGTTGTTTCTGTGCGCATTGATAAGCCTTGCCTTTTCAAGAACCTGAAGCACCAGCCCTCAGACCCTGAAAAATTCCGATTCCCATGTTTTTCTGCAAATCTTTTGGCCTCATTGATTACCATTTTGGTTGAAACACTTATCCCAGATTTCCTCTAATCTATCACTCACATTTTTACGGCATTTCCAAATTCAGGCCAAGATGCAGCTGGGCATTGAAAGTTATGTTTTTGTATTTTAGCAGTCTTCAGCTGATCTTCATGCAGTCGCCAAGAACGTATCAATTTTTTCGGTAGGTGGTGGACCGAAATGCCTTGCTGCTGCTCTGTTTCCATGCACTTTGGCGTAGTTTAACACTCCTAGTTTATACTGAAATGTATAGCTTAATCTCTTGTTTCCTGTAGTCATATTTTCCATTTCTTATATTTTTTTAAAAACAAATAGTTTTAAGCACCGATACCGACACGTGTGTCGGCTGAGTCAAAGAAAGTCTATGTAAAGAAGGAAAGGCTCCACAGACGTAATGTGACCATCGAACCTGTTCGAACTTCGACATCAGCTTTGAGCTTTGAGCTTTTTGGCGACAGATATTTCACGCATGCGCAAAATAATTATGGCAGATTTAGAAAAAGTTATGTGTGTCTAGACCTTTATCTGGGCTAAAAATAGCATTCACTATTGAAAGTTAACCTATATCCTTCATGTATAAGATGTAAGTAACTTTTTTGAGACCAAATTTAGGAAAAAAAGTGCGTCTTATATGACGTCAAATACGGTATATCTTCAAAAAAGGTTTGCATTATATTTCTACTTCTATACAGTATTTTAAGAAACCTATAAGAAAGGCAAGCATTCATTTTGGTTATGCTCCTGTAGGATACACTATCCTTCCTAGCCACTTCTCAAGGAAATAGCCCTTTAAACTATTTTGTTGGATGCTGATCTAGATCTCTACATCTGAAATCTTACGACTACTAGAACTACAGAGGATGTTCATATATTTTTATAACGATTTTCCATAGCTTTATATATAAATCTACACTAGAATTTTAATGCATTAATTATTTATTTTAATATGTTCCGTCTGATAGCCATTTTGTTGAACTATCATATTATATCTTGATTTCAAGGATAAAAGTTCTTGTCTTAAAACAAAAAGATTGATTTTATTTAACAATTTTCCACAGTCCATCCAATGTTTTGGGATACAGCTTATAAAGAGTTTATTTTAAAAGTCCAAATGCACAATAAACATAGGAGTCACATCAGGAGACTTAAGTGGGATGCATTTAAAGGGAATGGCTTCACTTCTATTTATTTATTTATTTATTTTTTCAAAAAATGGAGCAGCAGATTTAGAGGTATGACTCGCAGCCTTATCCTAATGGAACTTAACACAGTGAATATTGTTTGGATAAAGAGTTGGAATTTCTTATTTGAAAACAGGTGTTAAAACATATTTCTCATAGTAATCTGAATTAATTTGGACATTTTTTTCTACTGTCCTTATTTTAAGTTTTCTGTTATAATCCAGTAATAACCATAAAAACTATAGAAAAACTTTCCTTGTTTTCTCCAAACCAACAAATTATGTCTTTCTCCTCTTTTTCAGTAAAAAATCTATCTTTTCTATTGCAATCAAATAAGTATATCCAAGATAAGTATATTTTAAATATTAGCTTAAATCAGATTTTATAATTTTGTTCACAGTTCTTACAGCAATCTTTAAAGATTTTGCAATAGCTTTTTGGGTAGGGGGATTTTCCTTTAAAGTATGAGATATGACTTTAGATTTAGTAAGAGCTGTATGTACCTTTGTTGGGTATGTAATTTTTGCCTTTTTTCCAGTCTTATGTATATTTTGACATTTCTTTCCTTTCATATTAATTATGCCGGTTTTTAATGTGTAGAAATATTAAAACCATGCTTTTCACATCTTTTTTTTTTTTAATAACTGAATAAGAGTATTTCTCTTCGGACAGCACAAAAAAATAGCTTTCAATCCATTGCTTATTTTTCAGTGCCCTTTTAAAGAAAAGAATATTTTTAATGCTGCAGATGATAATTTAACCTTATTCTAATTTGATACTAGTCACTTTTGTATTTTAAAATTAATATTTAATTTCAAGGAGAAAAAATCAAAATCATTACGAAAATGTGTGAACACCCTCTATATTTAAAATTGCATATATATGCACATAGATATTCCTAACAATTTTAAGAGATTCTGTTTGTGTGCATATATCAGACAGCCTTACTTTTCTCCTTTTTTCCTTAGAAAATGCTACCAAGTTCATAAATTTTAATATATCTTCAGACAGTGTTGAATACTGCTGGCTGTCACACTCAGCATTTATCAGAAAGTTCTTTTACAGATGACGTGCAATATGGTTAAAAAAAATGCTTATGGATCATCTAATACCATATATAATCAAATATAAGATGAGTTCCAATTTAAGACATTTTTTCGATGATTACTGGATTTTTTTTGCATGAATACAAATGAATAAATTCTGCTTTACAATCTATGATTCTGAAATATAAACTGAAACATAATTTAGGTACTGACAGTATTTGTAATAAACAGCCATTCTCCTTAAATGAAAGTTGTAAACTTAGGACCTGTTTTAAAACTGTATACATTTTAACAAAAGTATTTCTATTTACGCACACATTATGCACTTATAAGGACTTTGACACTGCAATTGTTTCCTGCTGTCACTTTCTCTTGCTATTGAGAGTCTTGTAAGAAGATTCCTTTGAATTTTCTAAATAAAAGAAGTTTTGAGGGTAACAGTAGGGAATGAAGGATTATTTCATCTACCGTACAACTCAAAAACATGTACAATTTTAGCGTTTTTTTTATTAATATATGCATTTCAAATTACCAATATTTTGCATTAAACACTGGAAAGGAGGACCTCTCATCTTATATTCATGTAAATACAGCACAGTCAGTTCAATACAAATGAAGTTGAATACAAATGAAGATTCTCTTCTAGCGAGAAACAGACATACTTATGTAGACATAATCTATATTTATGTTTTGGGAAAGTTTCCTGCTCGTTATGAAAAAATAAAATTACAAGTTTGACTTTCATATAACAAAAACTGACCAAGATAATTATTTCAAAATTTGCAATTTTTGATTTTCAACTTGCTTTGAGAGATCAATTAAACGAAGTGCAGCAAAAGATGTCTATAATTTAATAGGCTGTAAGATGATGTCATCTGATGACCACATCAGATTTTTTTAATATCTACTAAAACTGTTAATCTCGGAGAAGTATCATATGTGTTTCTTTTATTATAACAAAAAGCAATAACAATGTCTTCAAAATCTGTAACATGCCAAATCCAGAAATTCATTTTTGCATATTGAGATATCCAATTCCACAGATTTATAGAATATTTTAACATTTCCTTGTTGAAGAGACCACAGTCATCAAAATTAGCAAACTAAACAATCATCTAAACTCTAACATGCAAGTTTTAAAGTATTGGCAACAATTAATGTGATGGCCATTTCAACATACAACTACAGTCAAAAGTCGTTAATTCGGACACCCATAATCCGGACCTCAAAGCTACAAACTTTCTGCGCATGCGTCGCGTTCATGCATGCGCATAGGCGTTTACGAGTGTGCGTAAGACTGCCTGCGAATGTGTGTGTGCGCATGCGCGTTTAATGTGTAACGGACGGTATAAGCTAAGCTAAAATTATCTAATTCAGTTAATGTTGCAGATTGCGTTGTTCCTTAATCTTCAAATTGGATCCGGCTTATTATTTTTTGCAGACTGTTAGAGCAATTTTATAAAAGTAAGCTTGAACTTTCAATTATGTCAAATAGAATTTCCGATATATATTTATTAATATGTAAAGGATATACAAAGCGAAAGTATGTTTCGAAATCCGAAATCTGTTTATCAATTTCACACCGCTGCGTGCAATGAATTGGAAGTTGATCTGTCAACACTATCCTTATCTTCAGAGCAGTTGTTTTTATTTTATATGGCTTATAATTCCTTACTAAATGTAGTATTTCATCTTGATGTACTCCGTCTTTGATATGATTTAAATCAAGCTCCTCGTCATTATAATTCGCTTCGGATAGTGAAAGTGACCCAGAGGTTATTGAAAATGAAAAAATTTCGATTGACAAATTAGTCGGTATTCTCAACACAGCAATTATAGGACTTCAACAGCGGAACTTTGTAACTAAACAAGAAATTATGTCTGTTTAATAGAATTAAAGAGAAAGTATTATCACATGAAACGAAGCAACTTAAACAACTTACATTGAAAGAAATGTTTAATAAAGTAAACAAATAAATATTAAGCTTTTTCTTTTTGTAAATTTTGATATCCTTTAGACCATAATTGTTCTTTATTTCATAAATTACGGTTTCATATTTTTAATTTTGTAATTTCTGCATGCCATCTTACCAGATTTAAACTGATGATCTATAATCAGGAAAAATCGATAATCCGGAATCGCCGAAGTCCCGACGAGTCTGTATTAACAACTTTTGACTGTATTACATTTTTAACAAAATCTGAAGTTGAACAGATTAAAAAAAATATTACATACACACATATATATTAAAAATAAAAACTATGTGGGTTAAAGATCAATACAGTGAATTTTTTTTTTCCTCTGGCATTTTTAAGAGATTGCAAACAGTGTGAAATAGAACTGTAGTATATTTTACGAAATTTTAAAATGTAGGGGATTAGATTTTTATTGCAGTTCACTAGATGCTGTAACATTAAGCATTCAGAATTAATAAATTTATGTACATATAAAAACATTAAAAAAATCAGGTTTAGCAAATAGAACTAATTATAATTTTAAATGCATTTTTTTACAACTCCTTTTCCCACTCACTCTTACCAGAGTTAGTTTACATATATGCTACTTTCATAAGCTTGATAGCCATGCAAAAAATCAATATATGCCTCTGCTGCTACTTTTACAATACACAGGATGAAACAGACACATAAGAATGAGAAATCAAGCAAACTAAACATTTTACTTATACAAATCTAATAATTCAGGTAACAGGTAGATAAAGTAACAAATGGTTTCCCCCCAAGCTTCCCCCCCTCTCAAATTAGAATGTGAAACGCACTTTCTTAGAATTCATTTTTGAAAGGAAAAAATATTTTTGCATGATTAAAATTGAACAAGAAGAAGCATTATAGAATTATGTGTTTTCAATGCTGATAAAAACCACTTAGAATATCCTATTTGCAATAGACACGCATTCAAGCAAAAAATAAGTATACTTAAGATATAAACAATTTTACAAAATATATGCTAAAAAAAATTAACACAAATGCATGAAGCAAACCCTTTTAAAGTTACTTACAGTAGGAACATACTCTGATGGAAACTTATTCGTTGTATACGATATAAGAAGGCATGTCTTTCCCACAGCTCCATCTCCAACTACTACACACTTGATAGTTTGCATGATTTCGGTTCTCTTACGGACAATAGGCCAGGTCCAGCGTGGCTGCCTACAAGTAACAAGAAGTTATATAAATACATAAAAAGACATGGGATTTAATGTTTCCAATTATTCATTTCTTTCTTTTGAACTAATACAGAAAGAGTCCAATTAGCTTAATAAAATAGCTTAAGAGTTTGTTTGTATATCCAAACTCTTAAGCTATTTTTTATAACCTATCTAAAGTTGTTCACAAATGCAAATTTTCACAGAAATAGCATCTAATACTAATCTAATAATTTAAAAGGACAATTATCCTTAAATTAAATAAAATAATCCTTAAATTTAAAAGGACAATTATTAGTTTTATTACTAAATATAACATTTTAAATTATAACTTAGCTGGTGTTCTTTTAATCTTTTTACTGTACTATCAAAAATATTGTTCATATATAGATGCTAGCAGTACTATAGGTTTTTCAAATCTACTGAATTTCTACATACTTCAGAATAGTCAAAATTATATCCATTAACACACATTAAATTACCAAGAATTTGATTAAATTCAAATTGAATTCTTGATATGTCTCAAAGAAAAGGACACAATTTTCACATAAATGATGAGCACTATTATGTACTAAATATTTATAAAAAGTTCAGTAATTCCCGAAATTTTATAAAATAAGCAAATCAATTCATATCAATAGCAAAACTGAATTCAATATAAAGAATATGGAAAAAAATTTTAACTCTTACAGAAGTTAATTCTCAAGTTATGAGCAAAAAATGTATTTCAATTTACAAAAAATCCTTTTATTTTAATGAAAATATAAAATTTAATCTTGTTTTAGAGAAGAATGAAAATAATTCTACTTACATACAGAGAACTATCCATTTTAAATGAAAAAAAGGAAGGTGTCCCACAGTCAAATTTAACTATAATACTCAATACACAGCCTGATAATTATTACCAGTAGTCATTATGTAACTTCTGTCACATGAAGCAAACAAGCAAGCTAATTCTGATGCCATATAAAAGTATGTATATAAAATTATAACAGTTTGTAACAGACTTTTTAAAAGAAGTTTGTTTATTTGAAATACTCTCGATAGGGGTTTTAAGAAAGATTTATATTGTTCTTATCGGCATGACATGATAATTATAAAAGAAATTACTCAAAAATTAAGAGAAATTTAACTCTGTAAACAACATTCTTGTTATGTTGCATATATATATATATATGGTCTGAAGTTCTCAGATGCTTTAGTTTTAAAAAGCCTCACAACTTCATAAAACAGTACCTCCATATCCACAGTTTACAACACGAGGAAAAAAGTTCTTTGAAATTTCAAAATGCATACCTAATGGTAAACTGCCTAAGGCTAAAATATTAAATACAGCCAAACAATTAAGCACTATATTTCCACAGTAACTATGACAACACAGTTTCCTAACAGATGTAAATAAATGAGAAAGGAGTGAAAATGGTAATGTTTCAACATATCTAATTGAGAGTACAAGTTGTTCATCAAAATCTTTTTAGTTCTTGCTTTTCTTAGCTCATCTTCTCATAATCCCAATGGCTATGAAAATGTGAATGAGAAACTACAGCTATCTGTGGTCAAAGCATCCAACCCCATCTTTCCTGTTACAAGTAGAACAGAAACTTTGCTCAGATGGAGAATGGTGGTGTAGATACCCCAATGCCAATATGCGAGGATCCGTTCAAATGGCAATTGAACAAAGCTGAAAACATTTATACTACTTGATTTTCATGGTGCCCATTATCAAAATGGTGGCAAGATTATCGCTAAGTTTGCAATACTCGCATATAATTTATGGCTACCATATCTCCATGACTGCTTTTAATATGGTATCAAAAGGCTTATCTTTCCCATAAAATTTCCACCACCATGAATTCTGAAAGATAAGACTATACAATGTGGAACTGGACCCCTTTGCTTTTTGTTTTAGGTATGAGAACCTGTTTTGAAACAACAAAATTAAATGTGTGATTTACAGTAAAATAGCTATAATCACATTTAATTTTGTTGTTCCAAAACAGGTTCCAAAAGCTATTTTGCTATTTTTGTTTGGAAAGCTTGAAAAGCTATTTTATTGTTCCAAAATAGCTTTTCAAGTTCATCAGTTTTATAGGCTCACCAACAATCTGAACATATTGCCGATCCTTCCACTACGAGTCTACAATCATTGATATCAGTATGCTTACTTCTCGATTTGAAACTCAAAAGCACTTGCCACTTTCATGGCATAACCTGCTGAATTTGGAAGTACCCTGTCAGCATCATTTTTTCCTGTTTGTTGCCACACAAACAAACTCTCGCCAATTTCAGTTCCAGGCCACTTATTTGTCCTTTACAATGTCAAAGTATATTCAGCGAATACTCGTCTCTCATAAAATTCTTCAATTGTGGTATTTTGACAAATGTTGACCTGTTTTTCACACCATTTCAGAAACGTTAGTGCATTTGCCCAACATTAGATGAAACATAGTGCTGTTATGAATAGTATTCTGGAAACACTAAACTAGTTGTTGATTGAATGCTCTTTTTTTATTTACAACTTTTCAAGTTGCCCATCCATATACTTTTGTTTACATATAGTTTCCTTTCTTGGCCATTTACGCATATTCGACTGCGAGGTAATATAGCTTTCTCCTGAAAAAACGATACAGCATCTTTACTCTTTACGAATTCAAACGTTACTTATTCCTCAATAATTTTTTTTAATCAACACTTTTTCACAATGTTTAAATTGAAAAAAACGGCTACTACGATATTACGCTGTTCATCAATTTGGCAAATACAAGTCGAAAGTGCCATTTTTTACATAAATACATAGACTGAGACTATTACAATCTCATGCGGTTTTAACATTGGGGCCGTGTAAATTAATAACAAAACTTTGTTATGCAATGACACTTGTATTTCTATGTTAATATGCATTTTGCAGCCTCATGTTAGGCTGTTTTATTTTAAGAGTAGAAAATCTCATCAAAGTTGAATTATTCATGAAGCATGCTATACAATCAAAACTAGAGCTAGATCAACAGCCAGAGCATTGAACAGAGATATTAGCAACTTATAATTAACTTGAAGCTCGATGACTGAATTAATTAAACATAGCAGGGCTTATCCAGATCATTAATTAAACTCAGTTCTAACTAAGATTCTCAATGCACATTTTCTTTTAGAATGAACTATGTTCACATTCTCAACAAACAAGAGGGGGCATGAAATCTTCAGTTGTCCCCAGATACTGAAACCACTAGCTAGGGCTCTGGCATAGCACAATTTTTAAAAAACATATAAGCAAACACTGTGGATTATAATCAGTACATAATTAAAAAAAAAGGAGGCATACAATAATTTTTCATTTGTATACCATTAAAATCCACGGAAATGTATAATTTTAACAAACAGTGAATATCACCAGCCCTGAAAACTCAAAAGCCACTGCCTTAAACAGTATCTATTCTTACTAGAATCTAACATTATCTAATGCTTACTTCACATTTTTTTTTTTTTTTTTTCCATTTCTGGATCTAGGCTGAAAGGTGGGTAAAGGGAGACACTTATGTTCTTTTCTGATCAACCATTTTGAAAATAAAAAAACTGCTGCTAAACAGTATGGTTTAGTGATAATAATGAATTTATGATGCCACAACACACCCTCTCTCACAAGATCTTTGCTTTGGTTTGATATAACTCCAATTAATTCTTGATACGATAATGTTAAAATAAACAAAATTGTTAAACAATGAAGTGACACCTTTTTTCAAATCTATAATTGTTTTAGATTCTTAGATGGCCTACAAAACTAATAAATTAAAACTTGCAAAATTTGAACATTTTAAAATTTATCACCATCAGTTTGTAGATTACCCATGATGCATATACACCAAACAGATTCTGGGATTTGGCAATATAGTGGAATAAAATACACCACAGAACTATAGATTCATACTCAACCGTTTGACTGCTACGCGGCACAAAAGCACTGCGTTCATTTGTCTCGAAAACTGCGGTGCAGTTAGTTGTTTAAGAATGCACTCGTGTTACAAAGTACGCGTGAGGTCAGATTATGTTCACACCCACGAGGAGCAACAAAGACACACTGAAACTTGCAGCGCAAGAGCGGTGCATCGCACTTTTCGAGACACATGTAAGCAGCATTTTTGCGCCGTGTAACAGTCAAACGGTTAAGTGAATTTATGTGTTTCACAAAGGTGATAATTTTGAGCTGTTTTAGGGCCCTCAGAATGACTTGTTAAGTCTTCATGACCATGTCAGATACACTCAAAGCTTGAGGTCAAAGTTTAATCAAGTTTTTTATATGCTGTTACCTGTATATTATTTAAGTATAAAATGGAAGATTTTTCGAACTAAATAAAAAACTTTTTTCCCCTTCAAAATTCTATCAGAATGATTGGTGCAAATTTAGTTGGATCTCTAATAACTTCTATGACCGACAATAGAAAATACAATAAATGTCTATGCAAAGAAGCAAAAGTTCCATAGACATTATGTAAGCCAGTTTGCTTACACCACTAGAAAGCCAAGGAAAAAATCTGCCAAAGGACTTGGCGGCGAGAATATCTTCTTAAACAATGTGTACAGGAAATTGAGGAACACATGTCTTTGACTTTTCGCAATAATTTAAACTTGGATTTTCGTACATTTTTTTTTGTTCAAAATTACTAATCCATTAATTAATTTACTTCTGCAAAAACATAGTTTCTTCAAGGAAATTTAAAATGATATTCATTTTATAAACTCTTGAAAAACGCGACATTCAAACTTCAACGTTGGATTCACGCTTGGGCGGCAGGTATTTTGCGCATGTTTGCCTCTACATTGGAACAGAGCCTCTCCTGTGCAGACTTAACAATATATATTCTTTGGCCTAACTATCTGGCATTCGACTATTCGAAAAGCTGAAGTATCCGGAATTTTAAGAATTTTTAAAGAATGAGAAATTTATAACATTATTAAACTTGTAATATTGTCAATACATATACACTGTCGCCAAACAGTGCAATTTAGTGCCAATAATTGATAAGCATGAAGTCGCAACACATTCGTAAAAAGTTAATTTTGGTTTAGTGAAAATTCGAGTACAGAAGGATAAAAATTCTATTTTTTCCCTCTGAAAAAATAATATTTGGGGCTGCATGAAAAGGAGAATTTTCAAAGTTAGAGAATCCGGGAGAAAACAAATAAAAAAGGGTGATGCAGCGTGAAAAGTTATGATAACCGATTCAATTTTTTATATGTTATTTGTACCTTTCTTTTATATAACTAAATAAAGAACAATTCGCTTATATAAACTTCTGCTGGAATGATTGACAACATCTCTGCCAACTTTCATGTTTATTTACTAATCAGATCAGATACAGTCAAAAGTCTTTAATCTGGACTCGTCGGGCGATTCCGGATTATAGACCATCAATTTAAATCTGGTAAGCTGGCATGAAGAAATTATAAAATTAAAAATATGAAACCGCAATTTATGAAATAAAGAGCAATTATGATCTAAAGGGTATCAAAATTTACAAAAAAAAAAAAAAAAATATGCTTAATATTTATCTGTTTACTTTATTAAACATTTCTTTCAACGCGCGCATGCGTAAGGCATACATTACGCATAGTCGAAATTAGAAAATTGCAACCAGAAAACTATTTATTGTGTATTCGTGATATTTGTAATGACGAGGAATTTGATTTAAATCATATCAAAGATGGAGTACATCCACATGAAATACTACATTTAGTAAGGAATTATAAGTCGAATAAAATAAAAACATCTGCCCTGAAGATAAGGATAGTGCTAACAGATCAACTTCCAGTTCATGGCACGCAGTTCATGTCCCCCCCCCCCCCCGCAGAGCAGAGTGAAATTGATAAACGTACTTCGGAATGGTTAGAGAAACAAAGAACATGCCTTTATTCATTTTTTGCAGCAATTCCACTTTTTGTTTGATGGACATCGAAACATGCTTTCGCTTTGTAGTTTCTTTGGTAGCTCCAGAATCGGAAATTCATTTTGACATAATCAAAAGTTCAAGCTTACTTTTATAAAATTGCTCTAACAGTCTGCAAAAAATAATAAGCCGGATCCAATTAGAAGATTACGGAACAACGCAATCTGCAACATTAACTGAAATAGACAATTTTAGCTTAGCTTATACCGTCCATTATACATTAAACGCGCATGCGCAAGCGTATTATGCGCATGCGTTAAGGTCTTATGCGCATGCGTAAATGCATAGTTTACGCGCACACAGAAAGTTTGCAGCTTTGAGGTGTGGATTATGTACGTCCGGATTAAAGACTTTTGACTGTATTTTACTTTCATGTTTAAGACTTATGAAATAGGTCAAGTTTTACGATTGAAATGCATCTCCCATCCACTGAAATCATGCAATTTTAAATGTAGGCTTTCGATATTATACATCAGTGTTGCCAGATCTCACGATTTTTTGCAAATTTTGTGGTACTTTTTTAACAAATTTTTAATGTATATAAAATAATGTATCTGTTAAAATTAATTTATAATTAAAAGTAATTTATTTAAGCTTAAATAAAAGTTGGCAGTTGACAAACCTACAATCATGGCCCATGACGGCAAGGGCACTCCGTTTTCAACACTAGTTGTTGATGTTTCAAACATTTGATCGATTGCTTTGTTACATATTTTTGTAATTTGCGAGTAAAATTTCAATGTTATATAACTGACGAGTTAAAATATACAGCATGAGTAATGTGAATATTTCAGCACCACCTTTCAAAATGCTAGAAAACTGGTCTATACTGAATGAAAATAAGTGAAATAAAATTTTATTGAACGCTACATAAATGTGAACTGAGGGCACTTAAAAAATAATACCCCACCAACTCAAACGAATTAATACAATAGTGTTTACAATCCAAACCTGAGAAAGCATTTAATAATGGATATGACAAATTAACTGAAAAATAATAACATCATCAACAAAGAATTAATTAAAAGAAATAGATATATAAACAATGGAAATTGGTATTATGAGTTTAAAATTTTTGTCAAAATTGTTATACATAAGTGAAACAATCACATTACTGTCTAACTTACATAACACAGACTGAATTAGTTATGACATCGGAGATTACATGAGCTTATGCATCTGCGACATCATAAAAACATAAAATAGTCTTAATTAGTGTCTTAATCATAAAAACATGCTATTTTTGTAATTTCTAACAACGTTATATGTTGGTGATGAATAAGAAGTTTATTTTTATTATACTACAGCAGAAATTTTCCCCAGTGGCTTTTCTAATGTGACTCAACTATCTGGAAATTTTATGTATTTGGAATTCGTCAATTTCTGAGCCTTCCTGATAGTTGAGCTTTAACTACACGTGCATACTGAAAAACACGAAAAAAAAAAAAAAAAAAAAAAAAAAAACCCCGCTTCCTAGCAAACTCCAGGCAGAAATATTTTAAAGTCTTTCCTTAAGATTTAAATACAAAAATAAGAAAAACACTCTTTAAATATCTAAAATTAAGAGCGTGAGCAGGTATAACATTAAAACATACCTCTGAACAGCATACAGCTCTGAACTCGCATTTAAAGGATGAATATCTGGAAATTGTTTATCCATGTTATAAAAAGGCAATACAGTAGAAGCTTTCTATTAACCAGTCGAATTATACAGAAGTCTCATTAATCAGTATCATTTATCTTCATATATTCTTAAAGTGCTTTATTTCAATTTTAAATTTATTACAAGAAACTAAAATTTTTCATCTCATAATAATAAAGTTTTATCCTGAAATCTATCACAAATCCTGCTAATAAGACATAAAATTTATGAATTCAAATCTGATTATGATGATTTTTCATCTGAATAACTGACTACCATTAAAAGTCTATAATACCTGAAGAAGGTACACCAAAGTTCTACATGAGCAGATTCAAATACTATTGGGAGAAATAATCATAAAAAAGTCTTAAAATTCAAACAAATACTATTGGGAGAAATGAGCAGAGAAAAGTCTTAAAATTCAAACTACAGGCTATTCCAGTAATCGTATGAACTATTAGTAATAAGCTGCATACATTCTGGCAGAATGTACTACATCAAAATAGCCTTTTTTAATAATGAAATTGGAAAATACTAGAAGATCAAAATGGAACATTTTTGAACACAGATTAATGTTACCAAACTTATAATTAATCCCTCACTGGAGACTGCATAAAATTAGCTAATATTTATCTTCCAATGTGCCTGTCCTCGATTCACAATGAAAACTAGATAATACAGCTTTCTCACCGCACCTTTACCATTGTACTAATATCAGCTTTTTGGACTGTAGCTAAGCAACCACTCATCTACCTCCACTATAGATATCAAACAATAAAAATGAAAGTTAAGCTACCATATTTCTCCCTAAAGATGTCTAAAATTAACATGTTTCAAAATAGCAATGTATATTTCTAGATAATATGAAAAAAAATGAGTTTTTAAATATTTCAACAAAAATTCATAATTCAATCATTTAAAATAATTTTTATTCATATTTTTGATCAATTCTACTCAGTTTTCAAAATTATTTCTAATATACAAACGAGAATGATTAGTGGTACTTTTCCGTTTTGCCGGCGCAACCAACAGTAATGGTACAACTGATGCCAAACGGAATATCCTCGCTGGTAACCTTATATGCCTCATTTTCAAAATAAGTCGCAGTCATTTCTTATTAGATTGATTGTTTCTTTCAATACTGGCATACAATTACATAGAAATTTTTATCAAATAGTACAATTTTATGCCTTAAGGCCATTCGCGGTAATTAAGTCAATTAGAATGCAATCACACTGCTCACCCAAAGGTGAAAATATAGAAAAAGCAAAGTCAAGGTTTAAATTCATCAATTCTAATGAGAATACACTAGCGAAGTAAAGCACTGTGGTTTTACATAATTTCTGAATAAGCTATTCGTATGACTAGAAAGAATTCTTGCATTTAAACTTATATTCCAAATTAAGATTTAACTTAAAATTAATGTAGATAATTACTGAGAGAATTAGATTTTTTGCAACGTAGTTTACATGAGATGAGATCACTTGGGGTCACGTGATATGAACCGGAGAATCAGGATGTTGAACTGTGAAAGCATAGTAAATTCTTAAGTTATTGTCTTTTTACCAAATTTTAAACAATATTAAAATGTTTATTTTGAATTCTTAGACCTAACATTTGTTAACATTTTTTATGTGTATACTGTATGTTGTCGCCGATAAAGTCTGCTTGGCGATATTTGCGCCGGCGAAACGGAAAATTACCCGATTAGTAAATTTAGAAAAACCATATGAAGACAAATATATCTAAATTCCAACTCTATTTTGACCAACCGCATACCCATATTTAACAGATATGAGATGATCTTAAATTTACTACATGCTCAATTCAGTGGTTTTATTTTAGCAACCTTACTTTTGTGATCATAACCAGTCCATAATACCAAAGTAATGTGCAATTGTCACAAAAACAGACTACTGTGTACATGAGAAGAATGGAAGTAGAGTATAATATAATCTTTATTTAATAATTTAAATTTGTATTTTAAATTGCTACAGTATGTTCTCTTTTGAAATGTTGATGAAGATGTTTGCTGACTTAAAAATAAATATCTATAATTTGGCACTATTTTAAAAAAACCAGAATTCCCAACTTGTTCACAAGTAACTTTAAATATAAAATTAAAAATGAAAATTTTACAATCATGAAGTTAAATTTATATATCAGTGAGAAAAAGAAGAAAAAAGGGAAAAGTTTTAAACAGTTAAAATTGGATATTTCTATTGGAAATGTTACAATTTAAAAATTACATGCAGAATGAGCTTAAATTTTGTATCAGATAAACGGACAATAAAATTAAAATTTTACTATTTAGTACATTGCATGGCATTTATGCAGAAAATGCTACAAAGCTGTGTCTTAGTATATCACCTTGGATGAACACAGGTGCTGAAGTAATTTTTGTGACAGCAGGAGATAATGGCTAGAAGCAAAATGAATATGCCCTCTATATAACTGGTGATAAATATATCCCCTTCCAATTTGAAACAGTAAAAAACTGGAAATTATTGTTTCATACAGCCCCAGCTGTGCGGCATATACAAAGACTAAATGGCAGTCAAAGCTGGAAATGCCAAATATCCACAGATTTGTTATTAAAACAAAAAAAAAAAAAAAAAAAAAAAAAAAGGAAAAACTACTGTACACATGGTGGAAAGCAAGATACATGCATTTACACCATAATGAAGTACATATACAGTTTTATTTTAGTAAAATTATTTCTCAGAAAATAAGTTCCTCTTCTGATTATCCACATTCCCACCGAAAAGCCGCAAACTTATTCCCGACTTCAGGAAGAAATGTTACGTTTGTTGTATTGATGTAGAACGCATTCTACCACTTTTAGTTATGTATTTCTCAAACGACATCACAAAAACATTTTTCTGAAATTTGAAAATAAAAATAACTAATATATTAATGAAAATGATTTCATTATTTAATTTAATAACCTATAAATTTAAAAACAAAAGCAGGAGTGGGCCCCTGAAAACTGCCGTTTTTACAAGTTTTTTGGAAGTATATGCTGCAAATACTACACAGACTAGGCAATAAATAGTTATCACTTTTTTCAATGGTTCTCCATCAAACTTTTGCAAGGTAACGTAAAGCATTTGCACTGTACATCATCATACTGTGCAGAATCTTAATATAAAAGAATTTATATTGCGGTACTTCTTCATGCTGTGTAGAATCTTTTCAAAATTACCCAGCACAATTCAACTGAGTATTAATATCATATGCAGAATAGACAAAGTTCTACTGATAGTTTATAGTTTGATGGAAACTGCAAAGCTGTACAGCATGTATTATATAAATACCATATTTCTTTTAATATGTAATTCATAGAAATAACATATTAAAAATATGTACTTCATTTTTATCTTGAATATCACAATACGTTACAACCTTCCCAGTTTATTAACTTTTTTCCCTTTATCCATGGAATTGGTTACAGTCAATCCTCGTTTATTGCGTTTTAACATTTCCCCTCTATTGAAATAGGTGAATTTCTGCAAAAGCAGGATTCTTTACTCTTATAAATCAAATATTTTCGATATCAGAGCACGGAAAACCTGTTTACGACTTAAGTACGTTTTTTAATATTATCAGAGCCCTTTAGTCAACATTTCACTCATACTACCTAATATATTACTATTGTATGCTTAATTAAAATACACAGTTCTTACACACAACCACCAACTATAAAAATAGTGCAACTTGTTCAATGCGAAACGGTAGGAGCAAGGTTACTGCAACTTTGAAGGCCTGACCTCAGGTTCGAAAAAAACAGAGAACAGAGTGAAGTAACAGAGTGAGTAACAGAATGAAGACCAGAGTAACAGAGTGAGTAACCAGAGTAACAGAGTGAAGCCGTAAAAGGTCAAAGCTCGAGGTGGCGAGAGACAACTTCTCATTACTTCCACATTTCAACAAATACAGTACAACTCCAATTATCTGAATCGCTTTCAAAATTTCAGAATCAGCTGAAGAAAGGTAGGTAAAGGAAGAAAAGGAAAAAAACAAGCTCAAGAAAAAAAAAAGGGAAGAGGCGGGAGAAGATGAGGATAACCCATGACTTGAGGAATTACAAAAAATTCCTGGATGTTCAGAAGTTAATGTTGAGGATACAGCAGAATGGATGGCGTGCAACTCATCAGATCCTGGGTTTCAAATTCTAAATGATGATGAACTTATTGAAAGTATGAGAGGAAAAAATTGTCGAGCAAGAAGATAATCTTAATGTCAAAGCTGAAGCAGACACAAAACCATTAGCTAGTAAATCCCAATTAAAATTCTTTGATGAAACATCAGCCCAAGTGTGACCAGATGCAATTTCTCATTGTCAAGCAGGCGTGTGAGCCCCAAAACGGATGAAGACAGTCAAACAGCTTACTTTAACCGAGGTTTTCAGCAAGCAATGACTTGTACCAGCACTAGTAAGTACTGTACAGTACACTGTATAACATCTACATAAAAGTGATGCCTTTTTGTTTTAATTAATTAAAATTGTTTTTCTTTAAAAATAGTTTTTTTCTTGCATTTGCAACATGCAGTAATTAAAGTGTATACAGACCCTTTCTTCGGAAAAAATCAGATTATCCGAATTTTTGATCATGCACATGGGATCTGGTCCCAACTGATTCGGATAATTGGAGTTCTACTGTAACTTTATTATCTGTTCTCAACCAATCCTTACATTAAACTTGTATCCTGAAGGAAACTATGACTGGTCATAACATGTAAAGAAATTCCGAGGGAAACTGCCAAAATTTGCAATTTGAAGTACAATAATCATCTCGGGCACACAAATACCAATAAAATAAAGAATTTTGTAAAATATGCACAGGCCATGTAATGAAATGCTCATGATTACAAATCACTTTAATGTAAGCCAACAAACCCAATGAAAAGACTAATAGGAATAGTATGAACATGTATACACTAATCAAAAAGTTATCAGTAAGTTACTTCAAAAATGTAAGTTGTACACTAGTTCAATGAAAACAATTATACAAAAATCATAAAACATTAAAATGATTACTGCAATACCTACTAACAGTGATATGCAAAAAACAAAAAAAGAAATATTACTTTTCAATTAAAATGCTCTAATCGCAACTTTTTAACAGCACTAAATTATTTTAAACAC